TTAAAACACAATGCATCAAAAATGCGCCAAAAACGCACTACATGCTTTACTGCAGCATTTCCATTGAAGTCTATAGAACCAAAAACTCTACTTTTTGCATTCAAAAAAGTCCCTGACCCTTTCCAAAAAACGCTTCGGGTGAAAACACGGAGATCTGAATGTGTCCCGTAGGAAATCATGTTAAATAGACTGTAGTGCGTTTCAGCAAAACGCTGCAGAAAACGCTGAGGTGTGAACCTAGGGTCAAGGAGTTTGTGCAATCAGATTGCTACATGTTCTGTGCTTCAGGTAGGACTTTTTCTTAATAAACTCTCTATAAAGATATAAAATCTATGGAGAGAAATGACTCTGCTATGGGGCTCCTGATGATAGTAAGCTTTTACAGTGTCCTATAGGAGTGTATGAGATTATTATGAAGAAATATCGCTTATTAGTGCGAGCAAATTTCTATTATTCATTCTTAATTGATTTGACATTATAAACGATTGCTTACTTTACAAACCCTTAACCTTTCTAATGAGCAGATCATCCCACTTCAATCAATACTACTGACTGTCGGTGCCAAATTTCTAGAGTGTCCATGATGCTACTGCGTTCCCTGATTGAGTCTTCCTAAACTTAATTATATGACATCCCTTTTATAACATCACATACATTTATTGACCGCCAACCTTTATATTCACATTATTAAATCTGTATCTTCTGGGGTGTAGTTCTAGTAACATTTATCATACATAGATTTAGACCCCGTTCATGTCCGAGAGACTCAGAATCGCTTGATTTTGCCAACATTTCTGGATCACAATAAAAGTGCACCAAAATGCGCAACATATGTTTGGGTGCCATTCATTATTAATGGCACCGCAGATCTGATAATGAAAATGCGTAATTCAACAATGCACCAAGGTCAGATTTAAAAAAGGGTACAGGAGCTACTTTGGCTCATTTTCGGATCACAGGGCAGCCCATTCAAGTAAATGGTGTTGCTCCCAAAACACACGATGCTGAGATGTGAACTGGGCCTTTGTGTTACTGAAATTTTTGAATATTGTGGTTTATAGACAATAATCTTGGTATTTCATCCATGTTTGTCAATCAATGTGGGTATTGTGTAGGCTGCATTTTTTCTCTGTTAGAACTGATTCACTTGTGCATCTAGATCACTTTTCAGAGGTGTGAGACAGGCAGCAGGGTAGTGATGTCACCTCCTCATCACCTGCTATAACCCTCAAATTGCTGAACCAACAAGCCCAGCCACATACAGGGCCATTGTGATGTGGACCTATTCATTTGAATGGGTCACATTCAGAGGCAATGCCACCTACTGAATGTGACATGCCATTTAACTTTAGCTGTGGCATGTGTACAGCCCTGAATGGCTGCATTATTTTGTTTAGGTTTGCAGTCAGGGGTGGTAAAAACACATCTTAACCCTTTCCCGCCCCCACCTCCAGCAGGCAGATAGAGGCGGGCATTCAGAACATGTGACCAGTGTGATTCACTGTCACAGCGAACAAATGATCGGAAAGATCCTGATCGCCATGAGCTTTCCATTACAAGGTAGTTGTTGTGCTGGAAACGCGCAGCGAGTGCACTCTTAGCACTTTAAATTGCTTACAAATAGACGCATATATTCAGCCTCTTGGAGGGTGGGCTTGAATACCCAGCATGCGGTCAGCAGGAAGAGGTTAATCGAAAAATATCGCAAGTAGTAAGAGTGAGGCTTGGCAAGTAGTGGGATATTAGAAAAATAATTATATCAGTGGCTCACCAACCCACAAAAAATCAAACAACACAAAATAGAAAAAAAAGTTTAAGAGTGGCCCGCTGATAGAGATATATATAGAGAGAGAGAGAGATCACATCCAGATACTCTGATACATTTAATAAACTACTATATGTTGGTTTTAAACTCAAAAACATGAGTACACAGAATTCATCCATAAAAGATCATATATGGGATATAATGTCCATATTGCAGAGTCAAAGTTTGTTGACACATTTCTCAGTTGACAACCCTTTTATGGATAAATTTTGTGTAATTTTTTTGTTTATTTAAAATCTTGCAAACATACAGTTTATTAACAAAAGCATATTTACATATATAAGAAAATAAAAAATAAATATATACCGGTATTTATATAAATAAAACCAAACAAGCTTACATCAGCTAATAACAGAAAATAAAACGTCTTTTTTTCTGAAAATAACATAAATAGAACTATATACGAAGAAACATAATTTTATTATCCGAAAACTTATTAAATTATGCAAAACACAACCCTACCTTCACCTAAACACACCCCCAGGCTAAGAAACGATTAAGCATTCATCCCATGTATGCAGCTTTTTTCCAAAAATCTGATCTTACAAAAATCTAGGGGACATGAAAGGATGGAAAGAGAATCTACACACCCAGAGACTGACAGACAGCAGCTATGGGGATCTGACATTCCTCCACGCCTTTGTCCAGGCTCCTGGCTACCACCTGTCCTTCTCAAGACCCAGAATCTTCCCAACCTCACCCAGAATGTTGTGTACCACCACCTCAGCAGGAAGGACTTTTTTTCCGTGTGGAAACCTCATATCATGCATTCCACGTGTAGTAATGGACTTCTAGGCTAACTAGAAAAAGTGTCTCAAAATCCCAGTGAGCTTGAAAGGCTCCGTAAGACCACTCCGGGTAACTCAAGCGGGAAAGGAAAGGGATATCCAGAGCCCCACCCACCCGCTTGTAGACTTCTATATTGAAGGGGCACTGAAGCAAGAAATGGTCCATCGTCTTCTCCACCCCACCGCACTCCACTCTTGGACAACCACGGTTCTCTGCAGAGCCATGCTTCAGGTTGCCCTTCAGAGTCTGGATGAATTTTGTGTACCCATGTTTTTAAGATATGTTTAATAAAATGCTATATGTTGGTTTTAAACTTATCAGAGTATCTGGATGTCTCTATATATATATATACTGACTGGTCACCCTTGGACACCCTTTTTTTTCTATTTTGTGTTGGAATAGGTTAATCACCTGCTTTTACAAATCCCCCCAGCCACCTGTGTGAACAAGCCCTGAAAGTGTAGGTCAAGCTAAAAGTTTTTTTCCAATTTTGGATACTTTAGGAAAGATTAGAACCTAATGGGCCCTTTCATCGAGGCATCATCCATTTCGATCAGCAGAGGATCAGTGAACAGTTCCCCTAATTAAATCACAATAGAATGGATGTCGCTTTTGTGAAATCATTGTCCACGCAAGTGCTTCCAGCCTGGAATAGGAGCTTAGCGGACCCATGTTAGGTCTATGGGCAGGTGATTGTAAACAGATGTACATTTGTTTACATCCTTTTACCTCCAATATGTCATGTTTGGGTACAAAAAGTACACAAAACTTTTCATTGTTTTTTTTTTAACATATCTTGATGGACTCAGATTTATGCAGATGCGTGCTTATTTACATCCACCTGCCCGTAGACTGACATTGAGCTTTCGTTCAGATTCGACTAAAAAAACTGACAGGCAGCTCTGAGTGGAACAGCCATGCAAATGGGACCTTAGGGACATAAATATGGATTCTTAGCCCTAGTGGTGCCCGGGGAGCCACATGTACCATGTACGGCCTCTGATATAAGTGAATGGCTATGCTTGGGTAAATGCTGATGGCTTCAGACTTATGTTCTTAAAGATTCTTAAAAAGTTAGATTTCTCAGTTCAGGAACTGTGTCTTAAAACCCGACTCCAGGAAATAAAAAAAATTCCACCCTTGCAGTGGTTCCCCCTCTACAATGAAATGGCTAAATGCTCGTTAAGTGTAAGAAGGAGATAAAGAGGGAGAATTGCTTACCTTATCCCTGTTCTGGTCAGCTCTAGCGCTGCCCTCTTCTCCCTGAATCTCCAGTCAGTGGGCAGTCCCTTGACATCATCACGTACAACGTAGGGCTATTAACCTGGCTTTGTACATGTTGGGGGCGACCACGGCACATATCACAAGTGCCCTCCGGTTTGACGGACGTGATGATGTGACCGCTAGGCTCCAACCTACGCATTTCATTTGGATATCTTCCCTGTGGCCCCTTGGAAAATGTTCTGGCGAATAAAACACGTAGGAAGGAGCCTAGCAGTGACGTCATAATGTTCATCCAGAAAACCGGCGCGCGCTTGTGATATGCTCTTGACTTGTTTTTGCTTCTGAGTACATACTGTTACCTCTAAAAAAAAAACAATGTTAGAACATACTTCACTAATGGTACTCTCCTTGTTCTTTTCCTTCGGTGTGAGTGATATTGGCCAACATTTGTGTAAGTTATATCCATTGGGGATTTGAGCAGCGTCTTTGGAATTTGAGAGGACCAAGCCATTTTTACATAGTTGCCGTTGCCTTCCATCCAATTTGGTAAGCAGCTACAGGTTCTTTTATGGTGGCTGGTGCACTATATTGATGTGAAGATATAATTTCATCTCACAGTGGACTTTATGATTTTGGGATTGATATATTTGGGACTATTTACAGTATATTGTTTTGCTTGGCACATTAACCACTTGACTTCCAGAGGATTTACCCCCCTTCCTGACCAGCCCATTTTTTGCATTAAGGCGCTGCTTTACTTTAACTGACATTTGTGCGGTCATGCAACACTGCACCCAAATGAAATTTATATCCTTTTCCCCACGAATAGAGCTTTCTTTCGGTGGTATTTGATTGCCTTTGCATTTTTTATTTTTTGTGCTATAAAGAAAAAAAAAGACTAACAATTTTGAGAAAAAAAAAATTAAAACATTAAATTTCATAATAAATTTAGGCCAAAATGTATTCTGCTACGTCTTTGCTAATAAACAAAATCCCAACACGTGTAAATGAATTGCTTGTCCTCAAAATTGTATGTTAGTGCAAATAAAAAAAGTATCACGGACAGTACTCAATTGGTTTACGTGAAAGTTATAGCAGTTACAAATGGAGGTATATTTACTGGGATTTTTTTTTTTTTCTTTTTTACTAGTAATGGCAGCGATCAGCGACTTATAGTGGGACTGCGGTGGGCATTCTGACACTGGCGGAAACTGACTTGGTGTCACTGACATCCCCAGTGACACCAATATAGTGATCAGTGCTAATAAAAGCACTGACACGGTACTAATGGCACTGGGCAGGAAGGGGTTAACATGTGGAGGCGATCAGAGGGTTAACTTTGTGCTGTTTTACTGTGTGCTGTGTTAGTGCTTTCAACTGTAAGCACACTATGCAGAGCCATACAAAGCAGTGTGCAGGAGCTGACATGGGAGAGAACAGTATTGTTTACATACAGTTCTTTCCCTCCATCGGTAATGATCACAGGGTGTTGGCGAGTGATCACCGGCTGGGGATCCGGTGATTGACAGCCAAGGCTTCAAATAGCTGCGTGGGTAGGGTGCACACCCACTACCCGGAAATGCGAAATCACGTATATATATGTGATTTTGCGCACCCCTGCCGCCCTGTAGCAGTATATCTGCTATATGGCAGCGGGAAAGCGAATGATTTGTTTCAAAGTGACACTGGTGTTTGTTTTTTCCTTGTTCATGCACCCCTTTGTGTGTGTTCGTTCTACTGTTTGAATGCCTTATCTTTTGAAAAGAATAAAAATGACAAAAACCTGTAAAACGCAAACAACGTGCATTGGGAATCTAAAAAAACATGCCTTCATTTCCTGGTAGGTCTTGTGCAACTGTGCCGGTGACAGCAGAGATCATAGTTCAGCGCAGGGTAATCGAGATCATGTACTGTGTTCAGCATGGTACAGAATGGCCATGTATTAACGTCCATCCTTGTTTCCCATCACATCCTGCATGGAAACAGGATGGGACATGGGCAGATCAAAACCACTAGTTTATTAATAGTATGTTTGGCTTTTGCAAATGAATTTCCATTCCGTCAGGAACGTGTTCTCCAAAATAGATGGCCCTTCACCTGCACCCATCTGGAAACTCAAGGGCCATGTAGGACCTAATTGGTTTCATCTTGTGACACTGTGTAAATGCCAGCAGAAATAAATTAGCTTTGCTTTGTCTCGGATATGAAAGTGTTGGTTTTACGCATAGCAATTAGGCAGTTTTCTGATCTTCTAAAGTGTGGTTGAATATTGCAGCAAATACCAGACTGTTCTAGGGGCTAATTATATATTTCAAAGTTGAGTTAAGAGAATTGGGCGACCATCGGGTGGCAGAAGGTCACACCAAGCGAATATCATGGTGCCAGGTCCCGATTAGAGGATCAAAATGTATCTAGAATAATTAGGACTTTTTAGGCACGTAAACTCAGTAAAAAAATGTAAAAACATATATTGCTTTATTGATGCACCATATCTAAAATATATTAGGTAATTAAAAATGTTAGTATGCATTGCACATATAGTCACAGCATTATCCCCCCATAAAGTCTAGAAATACAATCTCCTATTGGAGATATTGAGAAGATGGTGGACACAATCCACTTCCTTCAAAGTGAGGGGGGTATTTTTGCTGTTAGATGGAGCCCGACATGCTTCTCGACAAGAGTCGCTTCCAGCATTTCAGCCCTATTAAAGGAGGAGCTGTGAGCCCCCAGAATGGGTTGGCTTTACCAATCCATCTTTTATTAAAATTAATGTGGTTGCAAAGGCTCCAAGTTTTTTTTTTTTACCTTCATGCATTCAATGCATAAAGGTAAAAGCCTTTTATGTGCAACAGCTTTCCCCAGCCCCCTCAATACTCGCCTGAGCCCCATCTCGATCTAGCCATGTGCACGAGAGCCGCGTCTCTCCAAGGATTCTCCCTTCTCATTGCCTGAGACACCAGTGGGAGCCATTGGCTCCCTCTGCTGTCAGTTACAGGCAGTGAGTCAATGAGGAGAGAGGGGGTGGGGTTGAATTGTGTGTGTTTGAATGGACACGAAGAGCAGTGGACTCAGGAGTGAGCCTGCTTTGGTGCCTTCATAGCAAGCTGCTTGCTCTGAGGGCCTTTTTGCAGGAAGGAGGGCCAGGTGTACCGGTGGGGGGACCCAAGAAGAGGAGGACTGGGGCTGCTCTGGGCAAAACTACTGCACAAAGCAGGTAAGTATGACATGTTTGTTATTTTTTTTTTCATGGCCTATAATATCACTTTAATAAATCTATACTGGATTTATCATAAACATGTAATGCTGTCATCCTTTATCCTTTCTTTGAACTGCCCCAGGGATCCATAGGAATACCCTGTATGGTTATGTTTGCCCTTATGTCCAGAGCTCCTTCAATACCCATTTCAAGCACCATGCCCTGGCACTGTCACTCTCTTTGCCCTGTTTGACCTCAACCAGATCGACTCAGAGGTTACATAGTGTTTCATCTCTTCACTCCTGAATGGAGTAGTGAAGGAACAGATAAAGGGTGAATAAAACCAGTGGAGTAATTAACCATTTGCCAACTGCCCTATAGCAGATATACTGCTACAGAGTGGCCGCTCTGTACAAAGTCACATAAATATACGTGATTTTGAACTTCATAGTGTAGGAGACGCGCCGCTTCTGCTGTGGTTAGTTATAGCAGAAGCCGATCAACAGGTGCCAGCCAATGGATGAGTGCCAGCACCTGTTGATCGGTGAGGAGAGTGGCAGGACACAGCTCTGCCTATGTGTCCTGTCATCGGTGATCTACTGGATTTTCTTTCCCTGCCAGGCAGGGAATAAAATCCAGCACATTGCCTAGTAAAAACAGCACATAGTACACATAAATCACAGCTTAGGCACATAGTTAAACCTTTGATCGCCCTAGATGTTTAACCTCTTCCCAGCCAGTGTCATTTATACAGTCACAGTGTATATTGCAGTCCTGCTATAAGTCGCTGATCGCCGACCATTACTATTATAAAAAAAAAATTCCACTATATATACCATAGTTTGTATATGCTATAACCAATCAATATACGCTTATTGGGATATTTTTTTGACAAAAATATGTAGCAGAATTTCTGAAGAAATTAGGTTTTTTTTTATAGGATATGTTTTATAGCAAAAAGTAAAAAATATGTTTTGTTTTTTTTTTTTGTAAATTTTAAATATAATTAAAATCTAAATATAATTGTTTATAGCGCAAAAAATGAAAAACCCAGAGGTGATCAGATACCACTAAAAGCTCTAATTGTGGGGAAAAAATGACATAACTTTAATTTATGTTCAGCGTTGCATGACCACGCAATTGTCAGTTAAAGTAACGCAGTGCCGTATAGCAAGCATATGGCCTGGTCTTGAAGGGGGGGTAAATCTTCCGGAAGGCAAATGGTTAAGGGAGTTGAGTGGGCAGCATCAAAGTGAACCTGTTGTTTTGTCCTAACTAGGCATTTTAAACTGTATGTTGGGTCAAAAATATACTTTTTTTTTTTTTGGGGACACAAGTTTTGAGGCTTGACATGTTTGGTATCTCTTTAGTCCGGTGGTTGTCAAACTGCGGGCCAGGGGCCAGATGTGACCCTTTGCTTGCCTTTATCCAGCCCTTGGGTCACTCTTCTTCCTACCAAAGCAAGACACTCTTCCTTCTACTGGCGCCAATAAAGGGGCATAATTCCTGTTCCTTAAATCAACAACAAGGCACTATTTCTCCCATTAATACCAAAGATGGTGCACTATGCCTGCCACTGACACCAACAAAGATGTACTATTCCTGTTACTGACAGCAACAATGGCACACTATTCCTGCCACTGACACCAACAATGGCACACTATTCCTGCCAGTGACACCAACGATGGCACACTATTCCTGTTACTAACACCAACGATGGCGCACTATTCCTGCCACTGACACCAACGATGGCACACTATTCCTGCCACTGACACCAACGATGGCACACTATTCCTGCCACTGACACCAACGATGGCACACTATTCCTGCCACTGACACCAACGATGGCACACTATTCCTGCCACTGACACCAACGATGGCACACTATTCCTGCCACTGACACCAACGATGGAACACTATTCCTGCCACTGACACCAACGATGGCGCACTATTCCTGTTACTGACACCAACGATGGTGCACTATTCCTGCCAGTGACACCACCGATGGTGCACTCTTCCTGCCACTGATACCAAACATGATGCACTATACCTGTTACTGACACCACCGATGGTGCATTATCCCTGCCACTGACACCACCGATGGTGCACTATTCCTGCCACTGACACCAAGCATGGTGCACTATTCCTCTCCTTATGCAAAAGATGCATTGTTTACTCCCACTGACACCAGTACAATTTCTACTCCCAATGCCCCCCTAAAGTCTGAAGGACAGTAAACAGGCCCTGTACTTGGAAAGTTTGGAGACCACTGATTTCGTTAATACAACCTCATAGTTATTTTAGAATATTTTTTTTTTCCTGAAAAATATACATTTAATTAACACTTGCACAAATATTGTGCAACATAATAAATTGAAAGTCTGCTTATAGAGTTTACATTTTTTGTGAGCTGGAGTTAGTTACTCTCTGTGGTGACAAAATTGATACACAATTGATGCAGGAAAGTAAAGGTGCTTGTGCTATCACTCCAGTTTCATGGTAAATTGAAAGCTGCTGCTGGCTACTGAGTTGTATGGTGAGCTGTGCCTGCTATGGTGAGCTGTGCCTGCTATGGTGAGCTGTGCCTGCTATGGTGAGCTGTGCCTGCTATGGTGAGCTGTGCCTGTTATGGTGAGCTGTGCCTGTTGTGGTGAGCTGTGCCTGTTGTGGTGAGCTGTGCCTGCTGTGGTGAGCTGTGCCTGCTGTGGTGTGTGCTGTGGTGAGCTGTGCCTGCTGTGGTGAGCTGCTGTGGTGAGCTGTGCCTGCTATGGTGAGCTGTGCCTGCTGTGGTGAGCTGTGCCTGTTATGGTGAGCTGTGAGCTGTGCCTGTGCCTGTTATGGTGAGCTGTGCCTGTTGTGGTGAGCTGTGCCTGCTGTGGTGAGCTGTGCCTGCTGGTGTGGTGCCTGCTGTGGTGAGCTGTGCCTGCTGTGGTGAGCTGCTGTGGTGAGCTGTGCCTGCTGTGGTGAGCTGTGCCTGTGGTGAGCTGTGCCTGCTGTGGTGAGCTGTGCCTGCTATGGTGAGCTGTGCCTGCTGTGGTGAGCTGTGCCTGCTATGGTGAGCTGTGCCTGCTGTGGTGAGCTGTGCCTGCTGTGGTGCTGTGCCTGCTGTGGTGA